ATTACATATAAAAATATACTAATTTATTACGTATAATATCCTACAGATGCTTATACATTTGATTGTTCATTGAATATTGTTTTTATAAGTGGGGAGAAAACTTTTCGTCATAAGCCAAATAAATAATTGTGGATTTACAATTATATAATTTCTTTAAGAGATACCTTTTGCTCTTAATAATCCATAGTTATATGCAATTATACTCTTTATAATTGACCGCTAAATAAAGACAATGACTTATTATTTCACAAATTGCTGTAATTACATAATGTAAGAAATTCTCCTACTTTGTTGTAAAACACGGATAAATATCCAAAATAAAATCCTAATGAAATACATGATAAAAAGTAATAATCTAGTTCAAATAAATAAAAGTTGCAAACAAACAGTAATTAACGATTTAAAACATGAAGACATAAAATTGCGTGACTGTCTCAATCAATTTTGTCAGAGCCATCTTCTATACTTTCTTCGATATCAGAATCCTGATCTTCCTGAAACAAGCAAATATTTCACATATAAGTATTTTTTCATTTGAAAAACAGAAAAGACTGATATATATATATATCGAATGAATGGTAAATATATATATATATATATATATATATATACGAATGAGTAGATGTAAATATATATATACGAATGAATGGTAAATATATATATTTACCATTCATTCGTGATATTTACTTTTAATGACGAAGCCTCGCTTGCAGTTGAAGCTGTCTCAGATATATTTAGAAAGCAAGTAATAGATTTCTGCCACTTTGGTGTTTCCCTCGGATGATAGGGATTTCCTCCAGAGTATTTTTTTCCTAGAAAATAGATAAGTTCTGTTGCAAATAATGTTTTCATTCTTATCACAAAATTGAGAGAATATTACCTGCCTTGCTGCTATTAGTTTTTTGAGGAATATTGACTCTTACAGCTACATTCTTTTTTGCGATAGATTTTTCACCAACAGCTGTAAATATCGAGTAAACAAATTAATCGCACATATTGGCAATAAATTTGATCTCACACCAAGCCATCTGTGTTTGTTTTGATAACAGATCCTGCTGACAGGCAATCTTAGCAGATTGGCAGCAGAACCAAATTGCACGCAACAAGATCTGCTGGATGGTCACCAATCTGCCAGCAGATTGTTACAGGGTCTGTTCAGCAGGTTCTGTCTTATTTCTGACAGCAGTCTGACAACATAATTTGATAGATGTGTTAGATTTGTTGCCTTTTTGCCATTAAAAATTTGTATCAGGCTCTGCTCTGTTTACGCAGATATATCTGGATAATAAGCGTATATGCGTTATCTCCAATGAAATAAACGTGATATTTTAATTGTATTGAACGATTTACCTCTCCTAGGAACTCTGTCCGCCTTTGTCCTCACCATATTCTCACGTTCGTGCAAAAGAAATTTCGTCGAAATTCCTGTGTAAAAAGATGCGGAGATGAAAAATAAGAAGATTCTGCACTCGTCAAGATATCGTTGCAAAATTTAAAGATACCAGTGTAACCAAATCAGCCAATGGAGATATACCAGGCTGACCAATATTCAAACATCTCTCTCACCTGCTTGTTCTTTGCAGCTGAATTGGTGTACCGTTCTTTCCAGTACAGCGGAACTCAGTACACTGAGGCTACGTTCTCTTTGAGCGCTGCAAGTGGCTATAAGCGTCATTCTATTTATGCCAAAAGAAGTTGGAATGACGCGCCCCAAAGAGAACTGGTTGTCTGGAGCATAGAGATATAAGAATAGAGAGAACAAGCCTGTAAGTGGAAGTGATAGAGGAAAAGAGAGAGATGGATGCCGAGTGTCCTATCTGTCTCTTTCTAGTCACGCGCTGGGATTGGCTGCCGCGCCAACGACGATATAGCTATACATTTTTCTCCATCCAATTCAAAGAAACTGTCATTGCTAAAATGATCACTGCAAATATATGCTGTTTTCACTTCAAAATACAAAGGTAGTTGAAGTATATTCAACCATTTACGCCTTATATCTACATCCTTCGGTAGCCTACAACATTTACATATTTTTTTAAATGTAGGAAAAAATAACATATAATTATTTGAGGTTACGTATTTGTACTTTCTTACGAGTGAAAACTGCGGTTATATCCAGGATAAGACTCCGCCTTGCATTTCAAACAATGCCTCATTTTTAAACAAATCGCATCCAATTATTATTTTGTTAACGTTCGAATATTTAACGAATTTTAATTCT